ATGAGGATGTGCTTGATTTGTTATCAAATAGACGGTTACGATGAAACTTATTTTCCAACCAGCACTTTTCTGGAATTTCCAAGTTTTATAGTACAGTTCTCTCTTTCTAATTATTGTTATAGTCTTGGATTATGACCCAAATTGTGCTGAAAGGAGTTATGAAAACAAATTGGCTCAGGCACCCTTGATTATATATATTCTCAAAGCCCCATCCGCGGGCAACCACAGCTAACCAACCAAGATGAGATCAATGAACCTTGTCCAATATGTACTCAAAGCACTGCAATGCACCCCAGGGCTTACCTCGAGAGACAAGTATCCAGTCTTATGATCCTGACGGCCCTTAAAAGCCCCATAGGTCTCTCCTATCCAGTCCTCATCCCTACATTTCTTGCCTGAGTAGACATAACACCTGCCCGATGTGATAAAAAATGACTTGGGACTTCTGACTTTACTGGAGGCACAGGTGTCCCAGTTGAGACCACCGTCAGACCACCATCGACAGGACGTGGTTGTATCCGAGACTTTAGTGGCGGTATGCTCTGCGAGAATAATGCAATTCCCAATATTCTGGTCTTCGTGTCCCTGAACAGAGAAGTAATCACCCTTGCAATTCTCATCCTCATAGATTGTCATTTGCCAAGTTGGAGTGCGAGTGGTACTCGTCGTAGTTTTGCTTGGCGGTGAGACCATTCTTATGCTAGTCAAGGTTACGATGTCCGCTTTCTTAGTAGTCTTTGAAGTAGCAGTCGTTTTTGGAGTAGTCGCTTTCGAAGTAGTCGCCTTCAAGTAGTGGCTTTGCAGTAGTCACCTTTGAAGCAGCACTTTTGGTTGTGACATCCTTTTGTGCAGTCTTCGTTCCGCAATTGGAGATACAACTGCCATCGCAAAAGGCTGAGCTAGTGCCACATTGACCCAACCTAGCACACTGGAGAGATGCTTAGCAGAGGCCAAAACGATAGACATGTTGGACAACTATAACACTCACGCATTGACCTTTGGGGCACGGGTTTAGGGAGGCCAGATCAGCATAGTTGCCAGGGTGTGTCTTGTCCCGGGAACTTGGGGACCACAGGTAGCTTGTGGGAGAGCAACCGGCATAGGAAGGGCACCAGACCCACGAAATAGCCTTGCTTCGCATTCGCACAACCTGACCAGTCCCAGGATCCGAATTCCAGGTTTCGATATTGTCGGTAGTAACCTTGTAACGCTCAGCAAGCTTTGTGCAGGTATCGCCCCGCTGAATGGTGTAGGTGTAGCAGACACCATCACCACCTGGCGCAAATGCACCGCGCTTGTTGAGTGAATGGCCATGAGAGTTGTCAATGCCGTGCCCGGATTGGGCTGTTGCTATGTGGACGAATAACAGAGAGAGGAGGATATGAATGGAATTCATTGCATTGAAAATACCCTTGAGCGTAATTCACTATCGAGGAGATCTGCCCGTCATTTATAAATAGTCTGATATGCAAAAGAATAAATGTTTCGAGGTTGGCTAGTTTGACTAAGATGAACACTGTCGGAACATGCACCTGAAACACTGGATATCGAGTTCAGTTCATTGTTCAACCGCAGACCCTAGGAACGCCTGCAGGGTTCTATTCTAAGGGCGAGTATAAGCAATTTATTTTCCAACAAAGAAAAATATCACACCCCACATATAAACATCTCCGGTTTCCCCTTTATTCTCTTACACGACATCCAGTAAAGAGGGGGTTTTGGAAGAACTAGGATCAATACGTGATTCCCAAGCCAGTACAACGTGGGAAAATTTGCGCAGAGAGAACATGCCCAAATGCACCAAAGTTCAGATATCACGAGGGCCGAAATTAGAATGAAATCTAACGCAGCACTTGGCTAGAGAATGTGTGGAGGCAGAGTAAACAGAAAAAAGGAAAAGTGAAAGACTTCAGATCCCGGAGAGCGCTCAAAGAAAACCGAGAGTAAACAGTTGACGAGAAAGAGAGGATGTAGCAATGGATAGACTTATTCGCGCCCGCGCCTCTGGCGGCTCTATTGAGACTCTATCCGCAAACAGTGCTCAATAGTGCTTATGGAGTCGTATAGGTCCTATCCCAACACAGGAGGCGAAAAAGACCTCTTTCAACTCTCGAGTCATGCGAGAATCCAAGGGGAGATTTTCCTTCGTGTCATATTTATCCCAGTAGACTTGAATATCGGGGACACAGTCCCTTGTCCCGACAACCTGTTCAACAGTTACATACTTGATACAGAGTAGCTATTAGGGCAAGCCAAGAGAAGTTGAAAGGAAGGCAATCGCAGAGGAATAAAAGAGAATTCTAATGAGGGTTGCCAAAAGTACCAGAACAAGGCTGGCTATAGAAGAAATGTGATATGCGAAAATGCCAATAATGGCACAAAGTGGGCTCATGATCTTCATCGGGCAAGTTGCAGCAAATGGTATCTATTCGATAAGACCCAGAAATGCACGTTATCGACTCCTGGGAGCTGGTTGGAACTACGCCCAAAGCTCAAGCGTTGTGGCTTGAAGACCTGGGGCTTGAGGAAACTGTGCTAGGCTCTTCATAGGAGTAATAACTTACCTCAAGTTCTATGGTTTGCTACTCGGAGGAATTGCGGAATCACTGTCCAATGACTTCACAATTCGATTCGGAGATTATTATCGAATGGAGTTAGCGTGGACTTAGCTTGTCTGCAAGTCCGCACGAAGCGCACGCGGGAACTCGGATGCACTACTGTTTCTTCTCACCCGGACTGAGGGGAATTTTATTTTGGGAAACATCGCTCTGTCTTCTCCCGGAGACAGTCTCCAATACCATGCTACCACACCAGGCACACGATATACCTACTGTCAGTACAGACATTATCTAGGTACATACAAATGTAAATAGTTGTATCCACATTATCCACACATTTATCCACCTCTCCCGCTTTCCTCCTGGGCGTCATTGCTTGTTGAAAGCTTGGCACTCTTATCACTGACAGGCTAATGGCTAGAGGACAAGCCTGTATTAGCTTGCAAGCCACAGTTACATGAAGTTGCTATTGCTTACTGACAATCCTTGCCAATGCTCTCTGAAAAGAGCGATCACTTCCCTATCAGTTTGGACTATCATTTCACGCTGCTTGTTAATCTATATCGACACCTCTAGGCCCCGTCGGAAATCCGGACGGCTTGAGCTTGTATCATTTTAGCGCACATTGGAAACAGACGATGCCATTGGGCTCGTACCCTAGTCCTTGCTGAATACTCCATATACGTCGATATGATGCACGAAACGGACCTGATAAATTGAGGCAACTGGGTACTTGTGACCTGAACTTGCGAGCAGTTGCGCGAATAAAGTGAAATTCTTCAGGCCATGGTCCATCCTAGGTTTATCATCGGTCTCCGACGGCATCAGAAGATATGAGATGATGTTACATTGAGAAAGACGCTTTAATGTGCATTGGCTCGAGTATTTCGGGATTATTGTCTAATTTTTCAATGAACGAACAACTACACACGACGCTATATAAACGACATCTTCCCTGAAATTGCCATTATTCATACAGTCAAGCTACTTCCATCTTTTCATCAATAGTCCAACCATTCAATTTGCACCATGAAGTTTTCGACCACCATCCTCAGCGCAGCGCTGCTCACAACATCAGCCATTGCCGCTCCTCTCACCGAACGCCGCGCAGCACGCCATGCTGCCCGAGCCGAGGGCCGAGCTGGCCGTATCAGCCGTCCGGCTTCTAAGCCAGACACCCCGGAGCTTATTAGTCTAAATGGGACAAGCCATGCGCAGTACAGCTCGAACTGGGCCGGTGCTGTGCTTATTGGCACCGGATACACCTCAGTCACCGGAGAATTCACCGTTCCCAAGCCGACAGTCCCCTCGGGCGCTTCGTCCAACGAGCAGTCTTGTGCCTCTGCCTGGGTCGGTATTGACGGCGATACTTGCAGCCAGGCCATCCTCCAAACCGGAATTGATTTCTGCATCGAAGGAGGCGAGGTTTCGTACGATTCCTGGTACGAGTGGTACCCGGATTATGCCCACGACTTTTCCGGCATCGACATCTCCACTGGAGATGTGATTAAGCTCACTGTCACGGCTACTTCCAAGAACTCCGGTTCCGCCGTCATCGATAATGTGACTACAGGCAAATCTGTCACCCACACATTCACCGGTGTTGATGATGGAGACCTCTGCGAGACAAACGCTGAGTGGATCGTCGAGGACTTTGAAAGTGGCGGCGAGTTGGTTCCCTTTACCAACTTTGGAACTGTGACATTCACAAAGGCAGAGGCCACATCTGGCGGCAGCACTGTAGGCCCATCTGGAGCCACTCTCTTCGACATCAGACAAAGCCAGAGCGTCTTGACCAAGTCTTCTGTTACCAGCGATAGTGTTACCGTGAGCTATGTCTAAGGTCAGATAGAATGGTTCAATCAAGTTCAATCAACCCCTACCGCAGCATTGGAAGATTGGAAACGCAATATTGGACTGGACTGGTGGGATAGTGAGGGTTGGGACTTTGCAAAGGAAACATGTTCTTTTGGGCAAACAACGGGAGAGATGATACTTTGTGGTATATACGTTGGAAACAGATCGAAATTCATTGTTCCTTGGTCTCCCTCACTTTGATGTCTTCATTTCTTACAGAAGTCAAGCCGGGGGAAGAGTCCTTTACCGTGTCCAGCTCTCGGTGGGGCCTCCGCATCTGACAATCGGGGTAGGGTAGTAGGATATGTATCGGGCAAGTTGTATTTAAGGACATAATGGTATCTGGCATAGACCAGGTCTAGAGAGAGGGAGGAGTTGAAGTATGTTATGTTCTAGCAGGGGTCCTAGAGTGACTACATGGTAATTGATTATGACAAGGTACTGGCTCAGGTGAAAGCTCAGGAAAAGGAGACATGGAAACCGTGAATCCGTCCGCACACCCACTGAAGTTTCTTCGGTCGATCCTCGGAGAACCTGTGTATCCCATCTTTGTCGCTTACTTGCTGGATCTTTGCATCACTACCTGCGCATGATTCTTTTCGCAACCACCAAGAATAGCAAGATAAGTCCTAAAATAAGCCCTAAAATACCAAACCACCACGACAAGCCGGCCACACCCAATCCAGGAATGGAGATATTCATACTAAAGAGGCCGGTAATGGCCTGCATCGTGACTATGATCGCGCCGATGCCCGTCAGCCGACAGAGAGTGCCCACGATTTGATTGCGCATGCAGGTAGAGTCGAACGAGAGCTGACCTAGGTATTTTGACTGCGACCGCGACAGCATCTGCTCTGCATTAGTCAGATTGGCCATCATAGTCAAGACGTGGTCCTGGATGTCGCTAAGGTAGAGTGGAACCTCAGCGGGTGTCGATCCTAAGCTGCCACAATGACGTGCAAAAGACCGAATAACATCCGTCTTGTCGTGTAGGAGTTGGCGGATATGAGTAACCTCCTTGCGATACCTGTGTATGCTTTGGAGGGCCAGGCCAATATCACCGGGTCGTGTTACAGACACCCCGTCTTCAATCATCTCCACGCCGGTTTGGACGCGGTTGATTAAGGGAGCGAAGTCATCCACAATGTCGTCGCTGGTAATATTAGCATATTTATTACGTGCACCGGGTTATGGCAGGGTCGTACATGAGGGCATAGCAGATCCAGTCACTAGTCAAAGATAACTGGCTCTGTTGCTTCTTTATGCGGCTCCAGACATGAGCGGCGTGTTGGTTGTTACCATACGTGAAGCTCATGACGCCTCCGCGGAAGACAATGCCGTAGATATTGGCCGACGACGCCCGGGAACCGATCGTCATCTTAGGCCAATGTGGGAGCCGCAAGGAGACGAAATAGTAGGGGCCGAAGAGTTCAGTCTTCTCTCGAAGTTCGCGCATCTTGATATCCTCGACTGTTAGGGGATGGATGTCGAGCATGCGCGATAACGTGTCGATATCCTCGTCGGATGGCGCTGCGACATGGAGCCACCATAATCCCGTGTGCATACCCGTCTCGATAAGGCTTTCGAAGGCGGCACTAGATGACTTCAATAGCTGGATGCTATCCGCATGGGTGATCACATCGGCTTGTGTACTAAAGAAACTAAACTGTGTCGTTCCACCATCGGTATCCAGCATAGGAAGTTTCTCCCGCAGAGTAGACTCTCCATTATTGAGTGTGGGAGTCGGCGCTCGGATAGGGGGGTCCGTCACCAGCCCCATGGTGCAATTTAAACGGATAGACAAGTGAACTCATATAGAAGGGTGATTGCGGGAGGATGAGGATAGGCAAGAACATGACGATGAAGAGAAGGAATAGGTAATTTCATTCTTGGCATTGTGGCGGAGTCGAGTGTCCATGATTCCTTGACCACGTCCTCTAGGGCGGTGAAGGCACAGACCCGTGAGCTCTGGAGAGATGGGCCAGCGCTAGACATATGTTCATTGGTTAGAATAAGCGGCCCACTGCGTATCTATCCAATGAAAGACAATATTAGTATATGACAGGGATGTCGGGGAGATCTGTGGGTCCCACTTGCGAAGAGGAAAAGAATCTAGGTACACCTGCCTGGCATACTAGTCCGATTTGTCAGGGCCGACGAAGGGACTTACACAAGTCGTCATAATAAGTTCAAGGGTATAAACAATGCCTGATAGTCAGAATGCACCGTCCGAAAAGCGTCTATTTATTTCCGTATCTTCTCTGACTAGCTCCCCATCCTCAACTTTGTCCTGTATTCTTTTCGCCGTTTCAGCCGAAGAAATCCCAATTTTATAGGATCAACTAACTAGCAGGAGGCAGAGCTTTATGATGGCAGCGCACACAGAGTCAGAAAAGGGCGAAAACACTAAAACTCCCGGCTAGGTCACCCGCTCCTCTACCGATCTTGAAAAAGGAGCAAGTGACCCCTAGCATTCACTGCCCGAGGAAGACGCGGCCAGGAGTAAAGGCTGGGCTGTCACTAAGATAGTTCTAGATTGTTATGTTCGTGTATGCTTTCTTCATTTTCTTCATATATAGGTTACGTTCTAATCTAAGTATAATATCTATCAGACTAAATGTAGGAATGCTTTTAACCGCGTTAGGTTTTAATATAGTCGCTACAGCTATTCCCATTATATCGTCGGAATTCAATGCCTATAGCAATTCTTCCTGGCTGGGTACCGGATTTCTTGTTATATTTGCCCTCATTCTGCCTATATGTAGTAAGCTTAGCGACATTTTAGGCGGCGGAACATGGTCGGCCTGGGAACCCTCATTTTCATTCTTGGAAGTGGGCTCTGCGGCGGTTCTAATAGCATGAACATGTTGATCTGGTCCCGCGTGGTCCAGGGCATTGTACGCTGGGTCGTGTATTGAATTCGAGTTATACCGGTGTAGTAGGTTCGCATTGACCTAGTAAGTTAACAAAAAGACGAAAACATACAACAGTGAGGATTCGCTGGTGGTCACCCACCCAACTACTAACTCACCGGCGTGTGGCTTAAGTACGGCTGAGCGGACGGGAAGCCCTGTTTTCCACACCCTATGGTCGTATGTGTTATGTTACGTGCAACCAAGACTGATATAATATATATGCGTGCGATATAAGTGAGAATGGGGGTTGAAGATCGCCCTCCCTTTGGTCTTGCTGGGCATGTTTTTAAGCCCTAGGATAAAATGCAACGAGGAAGAACGGGGAAAAGGGACAAGAATTAACAATACGTCCCAAGGAATTTAATACCAGAGACTATTCTATGTCTCTCTCATCATTTCATCAATATCATAGTGCCAAACCTTTCGACAACGCCAATCAATCTCTTCTGCACATTTCTTAGAGTTAAGTCCGACGTCCGCGTTCTGGCCTTCATAAATTTCGCCGATGTGCCTGCTTGTCTTCACCAACGAGTGTGCTCGCTCGAGACGGATAGAGTTGTAGGTCTCGAGGGCCGTGCGTACTAAATTAGGCTTCGTGATACCGCCATTTCCAACATCATACGATTTAGTATACTCGTCCGCAGCAAGAAGAAGTTGTGCAAGAACTGTTGCGTCTTCCACTGCAAAGTCAGCCCCAGCACCATGGTAAGGTGCGGCCGCATATGCCGCATCTCCGGAGATACACACGCGACCGTGGACGAATGCCGGAGCCGGATAGTCATAAGTGTCGAATACAGCCCGTTTGCTGAGCTCATCCGGGAGCATGTCAATAATGGCCCTGACTGTGGGATTGAACCTCTCAAAAGCCTTCACTACATCGGCTTTACCGGCAGGGAGGGTGAATTTCTCGCTAGCTGGCTATTAATTGGGGTCGGTGACGAAGGCGACAACATTTAGAAATTTACCACCAGCAATTAGGAACGTGAGGGTAGGGCATAGGCGTCAGGTCCGAGATACGTGTGTCGAGTTTCTGTTTTCTCCTAGCCAAGAGCAGCATATGCTTCTTCCATCGGGAGTAGGCCGCGGAACGCATATTTATAGGTATAGTGTGTATGGTAAGCAGGATTATTGTCGCCTTCCCCAATCACGAATTGCCGCACTTTCGATCGAATTCTATCGCAGCCGATGACTAGCATCCAATAAGAAGTATTAGCAAAGAGCTTTAGAAAGTTTCGAATGGACAAATAGCCGAGCTCTGCGACGATGATGTACCGACATTAGCACTTGCTATACTCCCATCAGAAAACTTCAGCCCAACTTCACTTAGTCCATCTTTATCGACAACCTGGACTAGGTCTTTCGAGAATTGCATAGTGTCCCGGTGGTAGACTCTTACCCAATTCGTCTAGAAAATCTGCCCGTGAGCAGCCATCGAAAGCCCTTTCACTAAGATATATCTTATGGACCAGCGCCTCATCCTCCTGGCTACCGTCCATCCATAGGAACCAGTCTGTGCCATTCTGTACCGTAACCCGCTTAAATGCCGCATGAATCTTCGGGTCAAGTACTTTCATTGCCCATTCGGCGATAGGCGTAAAGCCTATGCCAGCGCCTATTTCGCGGAAACTCCGACCGCGTTCGTAGATTGTCGGTTTTATGCCACGATTGAGCAGACCGAGGGCGAGAGTCATTCTGGCGATGCCACCGCCGATGATGGCGACGTCCAAATTGGTTGTGGTATTTTGATCTGGAATGTGGGATCCCATCTTGGAGAGGTAATTTAGGTTTGGTGAGGGAAAATCCGATTGTACTGCTAAGCAGAGTGTATATATCCGACCTATGTACAAAAGCACCAAGCTTTGTATTTGATCAGTTTACCTTCAATGTTGCCTAATTGCCTTGGAGAGGAGTATCGGAAAACGGAGTATCCATATAATCAGCCCGTACATCTGGAGACTCCGACACTGGTTTCTTCACCTTCACATAAGGTACGGGAAACCGTATCTACTCTTATGAGTGATCATGGAGTATCCTCGATACGGTACACTAATCTCTATCCGCTCACTTGGCTTTCTCTCATAGCCTGAAAGCCGAAACAGACACATATCATTTCATTGGTGCAGGCCTCTATCTGTATCACTGGCCATGATGAATTTTCGGGGCGTCGTTTACACAAACAATTTTTATGGGCGACCTTTGCTTTGTCGCTGGAATTGGTCTACTTATCTCAGCCAAATGGGAGATGGTCTGAGGCAATGCGTTCTCTTATACCGTCCTTTCCGCATACGGTCTGTGACGCCCTCTTATCCCCTTCGATGTGATTGAGTATTGACTTTTCACCTTCTCAGCATTTTTTACGGCGGTTACGAAGTAATCATGATTCCTGTGTTGGGCATTGTCGATGCATATGGCGGGTATACTCCCGAATACCACAACGCTCTCGGGGTTTTCGTGCTGTCTGAGTCCTTGATAGTGGCGTCGTATTCTTTATCTAATGCCTTGCCTCTAGTATGGGCGGTCTTCAATCTTTTCTTTCTGTGGGCCAGCTGTGCTGTGTGAGTATTCTTCCCTCCATGCGCCTCTTAACTGAAAATTAATATTGTTCCGCAGGGACATTGTCTATGTTCTTTTGTTTCTCACGTTTGAATTGTGCCTCTGTTTTGATGATGCATCGAGCTTTGCCATGGCCAATGGGTTGATGGAGACAAGTGCAAACCTCATGACTGCTGCCGGTGCTTTCGCTTTGTTTCCAGTTTACTTGGATATTATTGCGGCTGTCATGGCCTATGCCAAGAGGCTGTGCCATTTTCAATTCCAATGGGTGACACTTCCCGGGTTTGGAAGCGTTGGTGAAAGAAGACAACTTCGCAAAATTCGAAGAGCGAAAAGGACACGGCGTGAAATGTCGCGAAGGAGGTAATCCTCAAAAACAATTTGATTCTAAAGGGAGACTATATATATCTTGTCAATCATTAATATGATACATACGACCATAGGGTGTGGAAAATAGGGCTTCCCGTCCGCTCAGCCGTACTCAAGCCACCTACATCTTCTCAATCAACCATTCAATACGCCTTTCCCCTTGAAGCGGCGATGAAACCTTATTAGCCTGGGTGTGAAAAATTGGGGTGATAGTGGCGGTAACTTCACACCCTAGGTGAGCATTCTTCGCACCGAGGGTGTGAGTCCCACTCACCCTGGGTGAGCTTACTTATACCCGTCCGCCCCCCAACACATCAAGACTGGTCGTTCTTAAATCGAAGTCCTCCCACGCTACTTTTTATATTACAATCCATCTCATATCTTAAGAAACTATCGCACTCTTCTACCTATTCAATATAATGGCAATATAAGGAAAAGATCTTAGCAAGATTCTTAAGGTATAAGCCAAACTTATAGTATCACGAGGGTTTACGCTCGAGTACCAAAGGGAGTAGGAACAATTAGAGAATCGTATTACGTAACCCGAGTTAGTACCAGCTACTTACAATAAGTACGATCGTGTAGTGCAGATCTAGGTCCTATAAGTTCTTAAATCAAATCTGAGCTAAACTACTCGCTAATATCTAGAAGGTGGAGACTTTCTCGAGGAGAACTATAGCGCTAGTGCGCCTAGTCCTCTATTAACCGTATCTCTACCTTAACTATTACCCTAACCGAGCCTATAGAGGTTAATCCTATCCCTTTATCTACTATCTTCGAAGTGTCTATCGTGTAATATAGCGTGTCCGTAAAGGTGTTAGGCGTCGTGTTTAGCGTAGAAAGGGTCCGTATATAGCTTAGGTAACTAGACGGCGGAGTGCGCGCGATATCTGCGTAGGAAGGAGAGCCTATAGCAGCGGGGACACTGATTTCCTCGCGTAAGGACTAGATTTCGCGTAGGATCGTATCGTGGTTATTCTAAGAACACGTCTTAGAGTGGCATTACGGTGTCGTGGTTCTATCCGTTAGGGACTATAGCTCGTGTCGGACCTCCGCGAGGGCGGCACCGAACTGTTCTCTGGTTCTCTAAAGTTCTTCCTTATATATTTCGTCACGGAGTCTGATTTCTCGCCTAAGTTTGGTGATCTCTCTCACCAAACCGCCGACGTCGAGCTCTTCGCGCTCGGTCACGGCGTCGTCCGAAGTTGCCTCGTCACGCTGGTCTCCTAGCTCGATCCTCTCATTTTGCTGGGAACGCGTCTTTCGCCGTTCGGTATCAATTTCCTACTCACGAGCGTAGTTGTTCGGTGGTCGAGTAGTGCGTTTCGGTCTCGCTAGTCGCGGTGGCGAATCTTCGCGTTTATCGCGGTCAGGCGGTTCAGGGGTTCGTATCGCGGCCCGTCCCGCTATTGATCATAGTACAAGAAGTCGGTATTACCGCCACGTGGCTTATTCACCTAGGTACAGTCGTTCTCGAAATCGCTCGCCAGAATCTAGAGAATTCAAAGTATTCGAATGCAGGCTACCTAGCTATAATCAAGTACACACATATACACAATTTATTAACGCCCGGCGGCTAAGCCGAAAGGGCAACTATCTCTGATCTACTATATATATCATAATATATATAGTACTATATCTCCTTAGAGCCTATATATAAAGCCTTATAATATATGTCATCTCAGATATCCGTATCGTAGCGGATCCTTATAGGTTAGTAATTTAGTTAGTAGGCTAGCTTAAAGGCGCTTCTCTAAGTGTTTAACATCCTATTTTCGGTAGTTAAAGCGCGTCTACTATCTATAACACGAGGTGGTTAGTAGGTTAGATCGGCGAAAGGGGGTGATTTATATTCGTTAGTATAGTTAGGTGGCCTCGAGTCGGCCTATAGCGATAGCGAATCGTATTAACGCCCGTACCGCCTCTAAGTTCGGCGTCCACTTCTTATTATTAGAAGGCGACTTTCCTCCTAGGAAGAAGGATATATTTCCTTAGTAGGTGTTAGTATATTATAGTAGTTCCGTCCGGTACGCTATCTATTTTTAATATCGAAATAGGAAGTGCTCTATAGTCTCTCTCGCTTATCTATATATATACTAGTCTATATCTACTACGTTAATTTAATAGAGATATCTATTAAGTCTTACTATACTAGTTTAGAGTTAAGCTAGCGCGCTCGCTTCTTTCTAAGATAATTAGTTATATAGCTACCGGGTATATTTACCTAGAAGTGCTATATTAACTTATTTTATATATCTCCCTATATTCGCTAGTAGGTTATTACTAGGGACTACTTAGGATTATATAATATTTAGTATTATTAACTTTATTCTTAGGATATATTCTTATAAGATAGTATCTTCTTATATCGCGGCTCTAGCCTATTCTTTAGCTAGACCCTATAGTTTATATCTTTACTTATTAAGATCTACTAGATATTAATCTAGTTTTTATTTTTCTATAGCTTTCTTACTAACTTATATAGTTAGTAGATAAATTCCTAGCCTAACTATTATCGAGGATTTCTTAGTATTAGAGCTACCGCTTTATTATTTATAAGTAATATAATCCTATAATCTTTTAGACTAACTACTATATTTAGCGTATATACTATCGCTACTAGCTCTATAGAGAACGGATTTTACTCTATTCTTATACCTAATATAATAGAAAGGGTCTTTAGTTTTAGTTTTTAATACTAAAGTAGCTATCTCTTAATCGCTATCCTAAATCCGACTAGCTCGTTCCGTACTAAACTACTAGTTACGATCTATATTAACCTACCTAGTACGGTCGGTAACTATAGAGTTACTTTAACGCTAGCCTATACGCGTACTTCCTATAGTGCTAATATAAACGGATTAATAGTTTCTAGTATTTCTATCTTAACGTTCTTTAGCGCGTCTACTACTTAATATAACGGCGAGCGATAGAATCTTCTAAATTTCTTAATTCGTACTATATTCCTATAGAGAGGGTTAGTTTCTAGTAGGGTATATATATCCGTCTATATCTTTATAGCTCGTCTCTAGAAACGGTATTAAACTATAGTAAGATAGGCCTCCGCCTCCGCTATACTAGTCGTAACTATAAGGAATATTCTTATAATCGCCTACGTGTTATAGACACGCTAGTTGCCAATCGATGACAACCCCACATGTTACACAGACGGGCCGTCGAGACCTAATCGACCTATTGTGCCAGTCTACACCGCCTTCCTTCTTGATCATCCGGGGGGCGGCCCCCCAGATAAGCAGGATCACGTGACCGTGACTCCCGCGTCGACTCCAGGAGTATACGCAGGAGTATACGGTGACCCTAGGATATACTCTAGGAGTATATTAGGAAGTAGGAGAACTTAGGGATATATAAGGACACTCCTTTCTAGTATCTAGTTTAGTTCTTCGTCTTCAATTACACATTATTACTAGTGTTTACCTTTAGATTACTAGTATGACTTCTTATTTAATTATAACTCGATAACACCTATCAGTTGGCTAATACCCCGGTATAGACCCACTAAGCGCTCTACCTAGCACCGTTCCTCGATACCCTTAAGAGGACCTAACCTATAGTAAGGCCTATTAGCAATAGTACGGTTAAGAGACAGATCGTTAACGTTAGAAGATTAGTTAAACCCGGTGAGTATAACCCGTGATCCACTAACCCTAACTATAACCAGTTTATAGTGCGTAACATATTAAAGACCGTCTTAAATCAAGCTTCAAGTTATAATAACTGATATAGCTAGTAGCGAAGCAACTAGTAGTAACGTCTCCGCACGGGGAGACTAACTATTACCTCGGTAGATAGCCGAGATAATCTAGTAGTTATAGGAGCAAAT